GGGCAGGGCTGGAACGGGCAGGGAGGGGGCTGGGCCGGGAACATTAGGTGTGCATAAGGGATAATTGCAAGGACCGTTATGCCGCCTCAACCGTATAACGGTCGCCATTCACACTAATGTCATAAAAAGCCCCCTGTCGAGTGTGCCTAGTGTGCCTAGTGTGCTAGTGTGTGTGTGTGTGTGTGTGTGTGTATGTGTGGGACAAACTCCGAACAAAAGCAACGACAAAAACGACAACGAAAATGGCAAATGCAAAAACCACAAAACAATAATGGAAAAAATAGCCGGAGATAAAGACACAGGGCGAGAGCGACAGAGACAGAGACTGAGAGTGAGAGTGAGAGTGAGAGAGAGAGACAGAGCAGAGATTAGGGAGATTGAGGGGAAGGCAAAAGTAACCGAGCAGGAGAGGCCGTGCACAGTGGTTCCACCTGTGACAAAATCTCTCTCCTTCTCTTTTCTCTCTCTTGCGAATACGATAGCCTCCTACGCTGTGATAGGAGTGTGTAATAGACCCCAAAGAGAGGGGAATACAGCAATATGGGGTACCGAATTCGGGGCTTCTGAAGATAACATTTTTAGAGCTTGAGATCATAGTTTTTGGAGCAGAGATCTGGTCAAATTTGATAAAAGAAGCTAATAGTTGCTCACTTTCAGAGCTCTAATGGTTTTTTCTATCAGCTAAATGGCTTTAAAATCGAATTACCTGCAAGTGGCCCATGACTCGTTTTTAGAGAATTATTTGCAGGGGTTTCCAGGCGGTCCGAGATCCATTTAGTCCAAGGTCCAAAGTTGATAGCCCTTCCATCCCAATCCGTTTGATAGCCACCGCTTTGGTACCACTGTGCGGCGGCCAGGCGGAAATGAAAGTTTTGCAAAAATTGCAACCACATTTGCATGTGTATAAGTGGGTCCCGGGCCCTGTGTGTGTGAGTGTGAGGGTGCCAGTGCCAGTGCCAGAGGGGGCAGTGCCAGAGGGGGCAGTGCCATTGTGAGAGAGTGGTGGTTGCTTCATGGTGTATTTAGTTAATGGACTAGTTTCGTTCTATCCTTCGGAGGAGGTCCCCCTCCCCGTTCCCGTCTCCGCACCCACGGGCGCGCCCCACCCAGGCCAAGGCCTCTAGCAAATCCACTTAGGTGGACTCTTCTCGGGCTGCTGCGGTCTACCGCACACATCCAAATCAATCAACGACAGAAGAACAAAAACAGTAACTTTTCCATTTTTTGGTCAGCTTACAGCTGTAAATGTTGCACGGCTAATTGGCAATGGAGGAAGGAGGGGGGCCCAGGAGAAAGGCCACCATTCAGCGGTGCTGCGCCATCAATCATCGAGGAACATGGGGGACCGCCTGCCGCGCACACACCCCAGACGCCCCCAGAACCGAGAGCTGAGAACCCAGAACCCAGAACCCAGATTCCAAGTCCTTATTTTGTTTTCCACCTATTAATATTTTAGGTTGAGTTGTCGACTAGCCGCAAATTGCCAAAGGAAATGAGTGCTCGATACTCGATCCTGATTGTCTCTGGCTTGCCTTTTGCATTTTGGCTTTTGTCTGCTCGCAGCTGGGGCTCGGTTTTCAAATCAAATCAAACCCCAAGCCAAACCAAAAAATCATTAATTAAAATCTAGCTTTCCTTTGCCGTCCCTTACCCTGCGATGTGAGGGACGGTCGTAAGTGTCAACGTTGACATTTATAATACATCATCCATAATCGAGAGCTCATAAATGATTGGGCAATCAGGCAATCAGGGCGGTGGGGCGGTGGGGCGGTGGGGCGGCGGGGCAGTGGGGCGGCGGCAAGTGCTGCTGTCGGACATCCATCGGTATTCCGGCCACGGGAATGCTCGCTGGCGGTGTGGCTGTGGCTGGCTGTCAATCATCCACACACATATATGATATATGTTTACACAGGAATATATTGATGCTTGACTTCTCTGAGTTATGGACATATTCAAGCTCTAAAGGATGTTTTGGAACAGAAACGGTTTACTTAAATACGATGGTACATTTACTAGATTTGTTAGGTATGCTAAGGTATAACCGCCACTCAAGCAAAGAACATTATTCGCTTGCATTCGAGTATAGTTACTGCCATCTCATCCGCTGTGGAGGTGGCTTTCAATTGGATTTCCTCCTCGCCTGCCGCTGACACCGGAACAGATTCCGTTCGCCACATTCCACTCTCGTGGCTCCATAATCCGGTTACCGTTTCTCCACTTTGGGGACATATAACGGGCTGCGGTTGGCCTATAAGAATGTGCGGCTTAGAAAGAAATCGCGGCCCGGCAAATTGCAAAACTTTGTGCGCCAGCTTTGAATGCCATTAAGGGCTGTAGCCGCAGAGACTAGGCGAGAGACACACAGACGCATTGCCTGCCAAGTTGGCATATTTAGCCACGTCCCACGTCCCACACCCCACCCACAGCACCCACAGCACCCACACCGCATTCCCAAGTAAAACGCTGTGACGTTGACATAATGGCAAAATCAAACACGCACACAATGCCGACGCGTCGGCAGCTGGACGGGGGGGTTTATGCGTTGCCAGAGCAACATAATAGCAAGTCGTGATATCACTCATACGAGTATCACTTCCACTCGTGCTGCAGGGCGCTCCTTGGGGCTGGCCTCCAGGCATCTGTTCTCCTAGTTCCCAAGTGCAATTCTGTCTCATCTGCTAGCTGTCGTTCTATCATTAAATAGTTATCGGAAAAACTATGTCTCTAGATACAGCAATTGAACGTACCATTGAATACGAAATGGAATAACATACATAACAGTACGTTTTCTTGGAGCAATCAGGTGGCGAAATCAACTGGAAAAACATATGATCTGCTAAAACAACTTGCAGCCGCACAAAAATACTTACCAGATACATATGTACTTCCAAGCGAATGATGGCCAAGTAACTTGGAAGTTGTGAAGGACGAATAGATATTTCTAGCTGAGCAAAGCAAACATTCAAAATTGATTTCAGGACATGGTGAGGATACAGAACCATTCTATTTTTGTGCATCAATTATTTTAAAGCAGACAAACGAGCCACCGAGCATGGCTTCAAGATCTACTAACTGAATCACCGGCATACGAGTAGAGCCGCGGCCCCTGCCGCAAACTTCCCACTCGTTTGTATTTACAATATTTCTCCACGTATAAACGAGTTGAGAGCCTCTCGCCGCTCTCCTCTTTGGCCTGGTGCCTCTCCATCACCTTTTAGAGCGTAACGAGATTGCCGGCAAAGCCACCTGCTGCCCACTCCGTCGAGGGGCAAATGTTGACACTGCAAAGTAGCAAAAGCTGTTGTTGTTGTTGTTGTTGTTGTTGTTGTTGTTGATGTCCTTGTTGCTGTCATAGAACAGCAGATGTGTCCATGTGTGTGCGTCACATAAATATGCATTTCCATTTCCCAACAGCAGCCACCGAGCCATTGCATGTGCATATTTTTATACATATTCATTGGCTTGGCCATGTCCATGTCAATGTGGGTTAGTGTGTTCCTGCTGCAGCTCCTACTGTCACTCCCACTGCCACTCCCACTCTCTCGCCCGTGTCTGGCACCTGCAACACGCAACTCTGGCCATGCAATGGCTTCATGCCCATGCCCCATTTGCATACTCAGCGCCTACCGTCCCTCTCAACGCCTCCTCAGTCGCGCCTCCCTATACAATGTCAATAAAAAGTAACATCAACTGATTTTTACTCTGTTCTGCCGCTTATCGAATTATAGCACATTGCATGGTCCTGCACGAACAGAAACTAGACTCAAATATAGCTGGGACACAGCTAAAAATAGCATTCAAAACATTAGCCAAACATACAATATATCTTAAATCTGATGACTCTTTAGTGAAACTTTGAGGAAGGAAGCTGGAAATGGAGTCAGCTTGGAACCTGTTGATCATTTTGCGAAATGGACAGAGACGGGAACCCAAAGCCCTGAATTTCAACCTTATCAAAGGAGGAAACGGATATGAATATCAAAGAAACAAAAAACAAAAGAAATCATAGTTCCATGGGGAAACGAAAGTCGTCGATGCGAGACGGCACAGATATTCGTACGAACACGAATTTAAATACTAATAAATATGAAGAACAAAAAAGTGATGTAGTGAAACAACAAGCAATAAATGAATGGGGAGAAAGGGAGGTGTATACAAGGACAGGGAAAGAGAGTCCGCTCCAGGTCGATGCCATGTCCGTGTCCGTGTCCATGTTCATGCCGTGCGATGCCAGCGCGTGGTTTGCACACGTTACCTGCTTACAACCTACCCGTTCAACGTTCAGTAATAAAAACCACCATTAGTCGACTGACTGACTGACTCACTAACCGACTGAGAAGCAGACTGAATGACTGAGCAATTGAGTGCCATTCGTTTGATGTGTGGGGCATGGGACATTGGGCATGGGGCGGGTGCAGTCAATAAAACGATATTTATTATGAATGACAACATTTGAAATGTTCCAATTACGGGCAAAGTACGAGTACTCTGATAAACCTCCATGGATAGGATATGGGTATCCAACTAAATAACTTACATAGCGACTGACAGCAGCCACATTGTTATTGCAAGCTACATACGAGGACGAGTACGACGACGAGTACGTCGACGAGTACGAGTACGAGGACGAGTACTCGTACGAAAGGTATTCTTGAGTACGAGTTTGCAGGTGGGGTACACATAAAATTCTCGCTTTGCGGACTTAATTTATCAATAGGTTTCTTCCACCATCGACATGTATCCCATACTAAATGCTGGTTACAAATAAACAACATAACTCGTTTAAATACAGCAAGAACTTGTACTCATGTACCGCAAAGGGAACCAAGTCTTTGGAATCAAACGGTGGGAACGTTGTGGCTTTCGTATGGATAAAGTATATCTATTCTTGATCAGAATCAATAGTCTGTCCGTCTGTCCATCTGTCCATCTATTATAAGCCATGATAACTTATTTCGTATACACTCGTATAATATGATAAACCTTTATTTCTCTTCTAGCGGACAGCTCGTTTCTTTTGGCCAACGCACAAATCGTCGATTTTCCGATCGTCTACTGCAATGAGTCCTTCTGCAAGATCAGCGGCTACAACCGGGCCGAGGTCATGCAGAAGTCGTGCAGGTATGTGTACGTATTGCCGATTTATTCTCACTCCGAACTCGCTCTGTTCTCGTTGTTGTTTCTCGCTGTTTCTACCCGCTGTTTGTTCTCGTTGCTGTTTACATCACTTTTCTCTCATCTTATTACTGTTTTTAATGGTCTTACCACCCGTAAGACCCCTTATGTATTACATATGTAAGCGTATGTATGAAAATGGTTAATTTGTTCAATGTTCTAATTGAGATATTATTGGTTATTATTGTCACTTAATGCACGCATGAAAGAGTCAAAGAAATCTATCTACTTAGCTGAGAAATGCACTATTCTTATTTCTATATCCTCGTATTTGTATGTTTGCCATCTGTCTGATAGCCATTAGATAGACCATCTGTCGGTCATCCTGGCAAATAAAAATCTTTAGCCATGTACATACGTATATAAGACGGAACCGCCATGATCGTCTAAGCACCATCGATCTGCAGGGGTTTCAAGTCCGAAGCCTTTCCTTTCCCCAATTATTTTCTTTCGCTTTACACATACTACCTCTATCGTTCTGTCTCTATCGTTTCTCCCTGAATATCCCTTTCGTTTTGCCTTTATCGCTATAAGCCTTCATGTACAAATATTAGCTTTCTAGCAGTGCTGCTCAAACTGTAAGCTGCATAATCCTACAGAAAGTGGGGAAACGGACAGAGGGACAGAAAGTCAGAGTCAGATTCCGGAAAGAGTGGAAGGAGACGGATGGGGGTAGGGGATGTGCAGCTGCCAGCTAAGAGGATTGCCAGAGATTGTAAGAGATTTCTGCTGCGACGCGTCGCCTCTTGCACCCCCACCAGCTCCCACTGCCAACCACATCCACATCCACATCCACACTGTCTATCCTGTCATTAACAGCATTCTTACGCACCTGCCCTATGCCCTGCCCCCGGATCCCATTAGAGCAGAGCCCCATCCATCTCTGGCCGTGTTCATCTGCTTAACGGCTTATCCCCAGCTGTTTCTGGCGAACAGTGAATGCGAAGACTGAATTTCATTTATTGTTGTTCCTTTTCCATTTAATTAATTTACCTTTTATTCTCAGCCAGTTCAGCCATCGGCGGCGACCATTAAAAAACCATTCTCGAACCTTAATGCACTCTGCTGCTTAATGCAAATGGACAGCTCTTTCATTGTACTCCATTTACTATCGTATCTCGCGAATTGGCAGTGTGCAACAATTAAGGCAGCTGCAACTCGACGACTCGCTGCCCCCCGAGTGTGGCTGCGAGTATCCTAGCAGCCTAGTTAAAGGTTTTAGCCCTCTCATAGCAAGTTTGGGTCTTATATACATATGTATATATTTTTGTTCATTCCCCAGTCCCATTCCCATTCCCGACTGCTTTTCAAATTGCCTTCCGGTCCGGTTCCACACACACAAATGCACGAGTACCATGCAGACTGGGGATGGGCACTGTGGAGAGACAGACACATGCACAAGTGTTAACTGCATTTGTTTGCTTTAATTTGCGAAGAACTTTCCCCGCCACGCTCTGACCTCAAACAGGGCCCTCATAAATCAACAAGAGGCAGCCCCCCCTCCATAGGCCCATGGATGCCGTGAATCTCTCGAGAATTGTTTTTAATTTGCAGGCCAACAGAATTGCCACAGCGACTCGGGCAAACACACACAAAGAGAGTGGAGTGAAGTGCCCCTATTCCGCCACTACTCAAACCACCCCACGCCACTCCACGCCACCCCACCCCACCTCACACCACACTCTCTATCATACTTGCAGCATCAGCGGGTGATTCCCCAGTTGCTTGGCCCCGAAAAAACCATAAACTTTTTAATGCCAATCTACCGTTTAGCTAGAGATATGCATACACCTCTCCACCTCCACCTCCACCTCTCCCTCACCCTCTCTCTCTATCTCTCTCTCGCTTTCTCCCTCTTTCTCTTTAAGTGCCAGTGTGTGCTCCTTTGACCTAGTTTTTTTTGTTGTTTCTGCTGTTGCTCTGCACTGCTCTGTGGTCGAGTGTGAGAAAAAAGAAAAAGATTAGCGAAAAATAAGCAAAAAGAAAACGAAACTCAAACGAAAACCAACGCTGACCAACGAAAACCAAACTTAAGCAGAAGATAAAAAGACAGAGAGAGAGAGAGAGAGAGAGAGAGAGAGAGAGAGAGAGAGAGAGAGAGAGAGAGAGAGAGAGAGAGAGAGGGAAAGAGAAGGAGGTGGAAATATAAAGCAGAAAAGAAGGAAGGAACATATATAGTATAAGCGGCTAAGTAATCGTTCACTGATTCTTTTGATGTTTCCCGAACTGCGTTCTCTTTCAATGCAACTTGGAAGCATTCCACCATCACCTCCACCTATACTGGGCGGTAATCCCCTCTACACAGTGAAAGCGCTCTCTCTCTGGGGCAGACGTCAGCCGTACAAAAGATAGATGTCAGACTGAGAGAGACTAGAGACATGTGTACATGTGCCAGGGGTCCTATCTGCCCAAGAGAGCTGTACTCCAATAGACTCTCTAATACAACCTTCGCGCTCATCCCAAATTGAAAACCAGTTGCCAAGTTTTTACTTTTGGTATGGTATCGGATATCCTAAAACAAAATGTATTTTTTATAACCGGTTTGATATACATAAGAGTATATCACGTTTAATTCTTACGATTCTGACAAGAAAGGAACATCGTTCAGAGGGACAAGTTTACTTAGAACCAAACTGATGTCTCGGTCGAGAAGACTAATACACTTAGTGGGATCTGATCGGATCGGAAATCCTTTCTTCTGTTCATTAGAAACATGTGAACAAGTGTATCATACGCTCTTTAAGGGTCACCTCCAGACAGAGGTCTAATAAGGCCACGTACACATACATATGCAGTGCAGCAGATCATCCAAATGTAGTAAGATGTAAAACCATGAATTATTTGTGGGAAAAAGTGCCATGTTGCTTCTCCTGGTGGAGCCGTCTTATGGGATACAGTATTTAACATGCACAGCTTTATTTCGATCCAGTGAGATATCTGCCGCTGTGGAGCTTCCACTGCAAATGCACGCTTTTCACTGCTTTTCACATATCCATGTACCGGGGGACCCAAGCTAGAAATGTTTGCTTTTGTAACCCAATTTTATGTTTTTTTGTCTGGGCTTAAGCACACACCCACATGCACCCACATGCACCCACATACAGACAAACTCTGCACTGGGATAAAAAATAGTTTTCGAGCTGAGCGGAAATGAGTCGGCCGCTGCTCTCTGCAGCACTGCCCGTGACGGCGTCGTCGCCGATTCGCTCGAACATAGTTTGTTGAACTTTTGTCAAGGCACACACACACACACACACACACACACAAACACAAAGAATAGAAATTAACTGTTCCACGCGCTCTGTGTTGTTCCCCGTTTCAGCGTTGTTCCGTTTTTGTTTCATTACCGATTCGTTTCGTTGCCGTTTCTGCTGACGTCATGGCGTCATGCGATTCGAACGAGTGCCCCGAAGTATGCAACGCTTTTTTGACTGCAACTGTTCCCCCTCATTCATCAGATCACGTGGAGGGGGATGTGGACGATGATGATGCCATCGGAGGGATGATGGCAGTATCGGAATTCCAAGCATGTTGCCAACTTTCCCAAGCAATCAACATGAAAAGAAGCAAAAGTTTCGCCCCAAACTTCTGCCGAAAACATTGAGCATTAAATATTTACTTTTCATGGGAAATTATCCCAAAACGAACACCAGCGGTCGGCCAGGACACCTAAAGTTCGGCCTACAGTTTGGCCTTTGCCTCGAAATGAATTCTGCATTGAGGACTCTCTCTATCTCTCTCTCTCTCTCTCTCTCTCTCTCTCTCTCTCGGGAGGCCAAATGTATTAGTCATTCCATTGTATTGTGGATTCCTGGCATTGCCAGCTTTCTAGAAGATGTTTCGTTCGGACATTCTAGTATTTATGAATCCCAAAGATATTGCTGTCCGTCCAATTGACATTTCACTCTAACATATATAAAGAACATTCTCCGAATCTGGACTAAACTCAGGCCAGGTTCACCTGGATGAACCGTAATCGTATCCGTACTTCTTAGCCGCACTTTCAGAGATGGCCTTAATGGGGGAATATATTTTCGATATTTTATATGCTCTGAAATGGAAATGTATCGCCATCTAGCTTCTTTTGTCCATTCTGGTTTGTTCTGAGTTTCTCTGAATGATTTCTGTTTTCAGTTTTCAGTTATCAGTTTTCGGTTTTTATTTTTGCATGTGCATGTATCTGTTAAATCTGTGTGTGTGTGTGTTTTTTCCCTATGTGGCATGCATCGGGCTTAAAGCTAACCAAGAATAATACCTCGTTTTTTCTTTCCATCTCTCTCTCTCTCTCTTCCTCTCTCTGTTTTTGCTCCCACACTCCCGAAACTCCCATCCAGATGCGGCTTCATGTACGGCGAGCTGACAGACAAGGAGACGGTGGGACGGCTGGAGTACACGCTGGAGAACCAGCAGCAGGATCAATTCGAAATATTGCTCTACAAGAAAAACAGTGAGTACCGGAGCACCGGAGCACCGGAGCACCTCTAGCCCCAGAATCCCAGCCACCCAGCCACCCAGCATCCCAGCATCCCAACATCCCAGAATCCAGCCGTAAATCTAGTCCGGCTCCCATTCGATTTGTGCGTATGCTTAATGACTTGTGTCGGATCTCCTGATGGTAGAAGGTAGTCCCAGGCAGTCCCAAGTTGAACCCAAATCAAAGTCTCCCCAACACCTCCCCCCCACCACCCCACTGGTTGGGCCATACATTATTTGGATTTTAGCTCGTTGGCGTAAATGGCTGCAGTTCGTAGACTTCGTCTCCGGGTCGGGACCATTCATAATTCATTCGTGTCCGGGCTCCCACCGCATCCCACCCCCGTAATTTAATTCGTGTGCCGCACCAACCCCACCCCACACCGCTCTAATGCCAACAAATTGGGTCTGAGTGTGGGCCATCAATCAACCCGAGGAGACCCCCATCCCCATGCCCCGACCGTGACCCCACCCACCTGTAAGCCTGTAGCCGACCGCCCAGCCAAATCAAGTGGAATCAAGTGTAGGCCCCCCACCTCGTATTGCCAGAGAGCGGCCTGGAATTGGCCAACTAATGAAATAACGCCTTCGAGTATCAATTTTCAGATGTGCAGTGTGGCTGCGCCCTCTCCCAATTTGGCAAGGCGCAAACACAAGGTAAACCTTCATCAAGCTTATGGCAATCCTTGGCAGTCCTTGGCAATCCTTGGCAATCCGCCCGCACCTATACGAGCGTTCGCAGTCGTGTTCGTATTCGGGCTTCCTGTTGCATGTTGCATACGGGGGCTCAGTGGGCGAATAGAACGGAGCATTAACTATGCATAAATCAAGTGCAGCCACTGGAGCATCAACAGATGGAGAAACAACAGCCACAGATGGACCAGACCAAGTGCTGTCGCCGCACCAAATCAGGTCTCCGTTGAAATTGAACTCGATTCGGAACTAAAATGAGTTTTCAATCGAGCGGCAGCAGCAGATCTTAGCAAAATATTTGCTTTGTGCCTTCCTGGGTGCCTGCCAGTTCTATGGACATATATATTGGATTCGGGCCAAGTCAGGTCTGGGGCTGGGGCTGGGGCTGGGACTGGGACTGGTTGTGGTGCTGGCCCGACAATAGCAAAACTCAGCCGTACAAACAATAGGCGGAAGCTGCGGGAAATCGAACAAATTGAATATCACTGACAGGTGTCTCTGGGGGGAGAATGCGCTGGGATTCCTACGGATAGGAATGGGTATGAGGATGAGATTGGACAGCTGACAGTCGAATCAGGGCGGGTGGATTGTTGAATAAACAATAGCAATATCCGCAGAAACATAAACATTAACCGGAAACGAATACCGGATGAGGAAACGGAAACGGAAGCAGCAAATTGCGATTGCAATTAGAGAATAATTATGAATTCCCCTACACACTCTCACCTACGCACAGACACGGACACGGACACGGATACGGACACGGACACCAGAGGCAGAGTCCTGCCCCCATGCAAATCGAACTGCAATTATTTCAGATGCCAGTCACGCCAGCGAAAGGCGGGGCTCAGGCGCAGACAGTGCCTCACATAACCATCAAACCCTGCCACCAGTACAGTGAAAATATTTTGTAAAGTGGAGGATTGAACAGGGGTCTTGCTTGGCTAATCTGTGGAAACTGGGTCCATTAAAACCACAACAAACGAGTGATTACTGATTCAGCCATCGGCCATCAGCAGCTGTCCACTGGCCTACGATACGACTATTCAACGCACTGTACTGTACACGCATGCAATTTTCATGGCACCCTCTGCATTCTGCATTCTGCATTCTGCATTCGGTCTTCGGTATTCAGCACCCAGCATACATTATCGAACGTTCCATATCAATAATTGCAATCCAATTGCAGTCCGTCTGTGGGTCGTGGTCCATCTGTGTGGCTTGGCAGAGGGGGGGTAGGGGTGGTTTGTTTCTGGGGGCCTGTTGTGACCTGAATTCGAATGGGATTATCTATCGTTTGGAAAACGCAATCGACTGTGGCAGAGCCCAGAACGAGTATTATCATCATTATCCCCCATCATCATTTTCCCGTCCCCATCGGGACTGGGATTAAGGACAATTTTTATTAATTTCGCCTTTGTTCCGTCCACGGCAGAGACCCCACTATGGCTGCTGCTGCAGGTTGCGCCCATACGGAACGAAAGGGATCTGGTTGTGCTGTTCCTGTTGACGTTCCGGGATATAACGGCCCTCAAGCAGCCCATCGACAGCGAGGATACCAAGGGAGGTAAGTGCATATCGTCCATTCGTACAGTAGCATCCGATCTGTTCAATCCAATATCCAAGCCAATCCAATCTCTCACTCTGAGGGACTTGGGTATCCATTCCGCACTCTCTTATCACTCTACTGTTCTGCTCTTTCTTTCCATGTCTACACACGCACACACACACTTGCACCCCGCACACTTACACAAACACACACACACACAACACACACACACACACACACAACACACACACACATGTATATAAACGCTTACACAAATTGAACAATTTCAACAACAATTCAACAACAAAAACTCAACGAAAACTCAACAACAAACCCAATTCGATCTGCAAACAATATATGTATCGTATCGTATCGTATCGTATATGTTCTCTTCTAACTCTATCGTTAACTCTGCCGTTATTTTTTGGTTCGTCTCGCTCCGTTCCGTTACGTTTCGTTACGTTTCGTTACGTTACGTCTGTTTCTTGGTGTCTGTGTCGGTGTTGTCATCCATTGTAGCGGTTAATCTATTTTTACCAGTTTTAGGTCTCTCGAAGTTCGCCAAGTTGGCCCGCTCGGTGACGCGGAGCCGCCAGTTCAGCGCCCATCTGCCCACGCTGAAGGACCCCACGAAGCAGTCCAACCTGGCGCATGTGAGTGTCTAATGCCACATATGCCACATATATATATATCCCCTTAATCCACCGTAGATGATGTCACTGAGCGCGGATATTATGCCACAGTACCGACAGGAAGCGCCGAAGACGCCGCCACACATACTCTTGCATTATTGTGCATTTAAAGCAATTTGGGACTGGGTGATATTGTGTTTAACATTTTATACCGCCATCATGGTGAGTGATTCTCCACCGCAAGGTCTCCTCTTCAGCTGTCTTCTCCCTTAAGGCTGGCCCTCCAAAATATCCTGAAACATTCCCTATCATTTGGCTATACATCTGGTCTGTTCCTAGATCTCTCCCTAGAACCTCTTTCCTTACCGTATTTCTTTCCTTTTTATCTTCTGTATCCTTTATTTCCGTTACTCTTCCTTTTTGTTCTCTAAAAATTTCCTTTCTTTTCGGTACTCCTCGAACAACGCCCAAGACTCGGCTGAAACTCCCTGCCATCCAGCACTTGCATAGTCCTCAAACACAAAAAACTGGAACTTTTTGTACCCCCCCTGCTCTCCTACCTTGCCACACCACCAACATTTTGTCAGACGGCGACTTGAACATATATTTTTGACGAGAAAGAGGAGGACTTTGCCAGGCCTTAGAGTGCCCATCACTCAATGCGTGGGGCATATATGGCATATGGAATGCCCCATGCCACACAAAGCAGTTGCCGTCGTCGTCGTCGTCGTCGCTTGTCTGCTCAAATTGTGCCTATTTCCGTCAAGAAGATGTTAAAATTTTCGCGTAAATTGCGCTCAGCCCAAGTTGCCTCATATGTGGCCTCTGGGTGCCTCTCTGTTTTCTTCCAAACCAATGTTGCTATTTCTTGTTCCGTTCTTGTTTTAGTTTTCAGGTTGAGGCACAGTTTTCGTTCTCTTATTGTTTAATGATATTCTGCCGTAGGAGGACGAGTACTCGTATTTTTTGCAAGTCCTCTTTAGTTGTCACAACTTTAAGATTAACATTGCAGAGAGCTCCTCTGGGGCACAAACAATGGAGTTCGAATATTCACAGAAGAGTGCTGAAACAAAGGAGGGAATTTCTCAGAGGTAGAAGAAACCAAAGCAACGAAAACTTGTTGGATTGATCAAGGGATACTCTGATATTATTGAATATTATCGATTACTTCGAATCGATAATTTAAACTAATTATATAGTCTATAGTCTAAGGTCGAATAGTTCACGATCTTGAGACATGCTGCTGGAACCGGCAACATCTGACTCAATGCTTTTGGTATATAATAATAAGCATATAATAAGCTTTTTTCATGTAGCAACATCTGAGGTCTTCCCGATGGAAGAGTCCCATCCAAAACACCTCTTTTAATGGCTCTGTTGCTTAAAGCAAACGCCTCGCAAAGCCACACTTGCACTTGTCCGGGATCGTATGAGGCTCGAGTGCAAGTCAAGAAATCAGACAATGCTATTTGCCAGAAATTAACGTTAAGACTGGGAGGTAAAGAGACAGGCAGGTGGCAGTTGGAAGCAGGAAGGAGGCAGAGGCAGAGGCAGACAAGTGCACACACATTTACATGACCAAGTGGCTTCTCAGACAGAGGCTGCTCTCCAGCCCTCCTTTGAACACCATTCTACCCTTAGCCGTATTCGAGCCTGAGCTTTATGGGGACTGGGGCTGGAACTGGGGCGGGGCGAGAGGCTGCTATGTTTTATGTGCTTAAATTAATATGCTCAGCTTCGTAGCAGAGGCAGAACACACAGGAAGGGAGGCAGGATGGCAGAATGGCAGGGCAGACAGACGTGTGTAATACAAGCAGCCCCCCACCCAAGCCCCGCCATGATAAGAGGCTTGTAACTGCCACTTGGGGCAACTGTTGAGAAAGCAACAATGGGCCAACTGTTGCTCCTGCAACGAAGATTCAGTGCTGCGAATTACAGCGAAAATCTTCCGTGACAAAATCTACAGGAGCCCGTTCCCGTTCCCATTCCCTTCCCAGACTATAGACAATCCAATCTTCAATCCATACTTTTCCTATGACAAAAATACGAGTAGTACGGCTAACCTTAGCCCCGCCCTTGTGTGGAAATCTTTCACTGTAAGAACTTGATCGATATGTCTCTGTTGATATGTCTTACAGGTGCCATACAATGTAGCGTTTAAAAATAAAACCTCAGAGGATGTTTCCCTTCTCGTGGTCGATTCCATAGTCGATGTTATATTCTTTATAGATATTGGTAAGTTGCGGCTCTCTACAGGTATGGAAATCCTTTGGCAATAACTGGTTCCTTCCCCCTCAATTATGTTCAGTTTTAAACTTCCACACCACGTTTGTGGGCCCGGGCGGAGAGGTGGTCAGCGATCCGAAGGTGATACGGATGAACTACCTCAAGTCGTGGTTCATCATCGACCTGCTCAGCTGCCTGCCATATGACGTCTTCAATGCGTTCGACCGGGACGAGGACGGCATCGGGTCCCTGTTCAGTGCCCTCAAGGTGGTGCGCCTCCTGCGGCTGGGTCGGGTTGTGCGGAAGCTCGACCGCTACCTGGAGTACGGGGCTGCCATGCTGATCTTGTTGCTCTGCTTCTACATGCTGGTGGCGCACTGGCTGGCCTGTATTTGGTACTCGATTGGGCGCAGCGATGCGGACAATGGGGTAAGGCCCCTTGCCATCTGTATCTCTGAAGGATAATCTCTATTTTTCTTGAATGTTGCCCCATCAAAGATCCAATACAGCTGGCTGTGGAAGCTGGCGAATGTAACGCAATCTCCGTACTCTTACATCTGGAGTAATGACACGGGGCCGGAGCTGGTGAACGGGCCGTCGAGGAAGAGCATGTATGTGACGGCCCTGTACTTCACCATGACCTGCATGACCTCGGTGAGCGGGGCACAGCCCTGAACCAGACTCAAGCTAACCTCAAATGGATTCCTCAACTCTCTCTCTCTCTCTCTTTGTATTTCTCTACCCATCCACAGGTTGGCTTTGGCAATGTCGCCGCGGAGACAGACAACGAGAAGGTGTTCACCATCTGCATGATGATCATTGCAGGTGCTGTGTCCTTAACACGTTCCGTTGCCGCGTCCAAGTTTCTGAATACCCCGCACACGCGTCACGCTTTTAAATAGAACTCGATACCGATACCAATCTCGATTCTGATTCCGATTCTCGCAATCATTATTTAAAAGCTAAGCAATCAATTTGCGCCGCTAGAACTAATAAACTGCTCCAGTTGGTATAGCCTCATTTAGCCAATCACAGTTCGACACACTCTGTAGCCATTTCGATGTCCATGTATCGCTCTTTCAGCATTTATCTACATACCTCGAATGACTGAACTGTCCTGTCCATCCCGTTCCTTCATCGGCTCTGTCGTCATCCAGTTGCACACCGTTCTTCGTCATGTGTTAACTCTATACTCGTTACATGTACACGTTACTCGTTACACGTTACACGTTACACGTTAGTGTAATCTGTGCTGTTACTCTTGGCTCATTCTAGGCAAACGCAATATCTGTTTCCTCATTCCTTCACCTCTCACTCTGCCTGAGATACTGCGCAGGCTCAGCATTCGATCAGCCAAAGGGGGGCTACGACCTCAGAGAATGCTGCGCCTATACAGTCCCTTGCAGACTTCCACCTCATTTGTGCCCATATTCCGGCTCTTTTCATCCCATTTGCGTGCTAGTCCAATCTGTGGCATTTATTAACGTTCTAGTTGCGCACCTGTGCGTCTATATTTTTTCACAGCGAGTAGTGGAATCGGCGAGTATCAGCGCACACTGATACATACATATATACTGCCTATATTTGTCCTTCCCATAGCACACTTACACCTAACACCTTACATCGACACATCCAGTCCAGTTTTATCTAGCTGTGTGTCTAAAATGTATCTACAACAAGAAAGAAACTATTCAAATCGAGCTCTCTGTACACACCCAGCTTAATCTTAATTATCACACTGTCTCTCTCTCTCTCTCTCTCCCTCTATCTCTCTATATATAAATAAATTTGGTTGCGTTTATAGCTCTGCTGTATGCCACAATCTTTGGTCATGTGACCACCATCATACAGCAGATGACCTCAGCGACGGCCAAGTACCACGACATGCTCAACAACGTGAGGGAGTTCATGAAGTTGCACGAGGTGCCCAAGGCCCTCAGTGAGCGCGTGATGGACTATGTTGTCTCTACGTGGGCCATGACCAAGGGTCTGGACACCGAGAAGGTGAGTAGTTCGTAGTGGGTTCACATCCAGACGTATCCGAGGCATGCCTTTCTGATGGCTGTCTATACGGGAGATCCCGATCCCCCAGAGCAATGACTCCATTAGATCAAACAGATCTTAGTCTCAGGGGCTGCTTGAGCCTTTCATATTGCCAGCCAGCTTTTTGCTACAAGCTTCATTCCCAATGCATAGAATCATGGTGAGAGAAGGGACTTACTTTCTACATTCATAATCATTTAGTTAGTCCCAAATTTTTGGGAGCTCCTAAGAATGGTAGAAATACCTACCCAATTACTTTAGGTAGCTAAATTCTATAGCCTATAGCACTTCAGCCTATCACTCTTTCTATCGCAACCTTGGCATATATACACACGCTAATGAATACATTATTCATGCACTCACTACTTTTACTCACTCACTCACTCGCTACTTATTACTGACGAATCGTCGCTATCATCCATTTCTCATACTTTCTCACAGTTCTTCACACCTTTTTCCCCCTTTACTCGACACATAAGGCACTTGACTTTTTACTTTCCATGTCCATACTTTTTCATCTTTCAGTTGAACTACTCGCTAACTTACGGCTAGTGACGATTCGCCAGCGAACATGCCACTCGTCGTAAGTTTTGTTTCTTCTCTGGTTTTGACCACCAACATCTGCCACATCTGTCGTATTCCGCTAGTGTATATGTAACATTCACTCACAGTTTTATTACTCGCTACTCGCTAGCCTATCACTCGCATCTCGCCCTCGCTAGTCTTCATAGCCCGATGTACAGATACACCAAACATACATAGAAACACACTACACATATTATCTCTCTCTCTCCTTACCTCTCTGTACTCTGTCCAGTCCTCTCGACAAATCCGCTTTGGGCGCTGCTTTTCCGCTTTGCTTTCCTTTTGCTTTTATTTTGAAGCCGCTTCTCGCATTATTAGGCCTAAGATCAGAAACGCTTTGCCAGGGTGCCAGGGTGTCAGGGTGCCACGGAAAGTGCTTTTCCCGAAAAAACAGAGAAAGCCCACTCGTACTCCTACTTATTCGTATTCATAAACTGTTCGAGAACCCATGCAGCCCACCCACCCACAGATGCAGGTCCGAGGTAAGCTGTCTGTGGGTTCATATAAAGTGTGTACATATGTATCTGGAAACTGTCTAAGTATCCCTCGCATAATTTAAGCTCTCTCTCTCTCTCTTTTAAACTAACAACAATTTTTGACTAAAACTTTAGCTAATCGATCGAAATCTGTGTGTTCTCCACGTGTTTGTGTTTGCCCGCGAGCGAAATCCGGGCCAAAACGAAAAGCGTCCGTCAAATTCATGCCTTTAGATGAACTTGAACCAAACAGCGCAGCGCCCCCTCCTTGTCTCCTTTCCTCCACTCCCTCTTCCCAGTTCCTTGCCTTACCACCACCCACCCATCATCTGGAAGGGGGTGCGTGCGCACCCATCAATCTGATATAAAAACGTGTTTGGTTCAACTGATAACGAGAGTTTACCCAACCAATCGAATGCCAAATAAACTGACCTTTATACCTATTTCGTTGACTGTAGTTTGTGCCGCAATTAAGTTTCCCCAACTAGGCCCCTCCCCCTTGCCCCTTCACTAGTCCCAAAAGCACGGCTGCTTCCGTGGGGGGAATCTCCACGAAGCAGCCCCCAAGCACTCAACACACACACTCACACAACGACACAGACAGTCACAGCAACACACACATGGAAAGACAGATAGACAGACACACCCACACGCACAAACTTGTTCAATATTGTATGTGTCTATGTGTTGTACGTGTCCGTGTGTGTCTCGATAGCCACTCGAGAGCGAATCAACTCTCCAAAGACACATCCCGACAATAAGAGACCGCCGGGCTGCCACACTGCTGATAAAATGTACCCAAGAAGATGTCCATTATTTATTAATATCTTAATAGGAATTTGAATAAGAATACACTCGATAGAAGCACACGGTACTTATTCGTTGGCGACTACTCGTTCGTTGTCATTTTCAAAAAGGATGTCAGTTATCAGTACATGTATTTATGGTACACCCGATTCGATTCTAAATGCATAGAGTTCTAGTAAAGGTTTAATTCCTGGATTACTTGCCTGGGATACCCAATAGAATAGTCTGGTCATTTCGGGCAACAACTAATTGATTCAGGTGGCAACCGTGGCTGGTCCTGGTCCGTACATAAAGCACATGTGTATGTCCTAGTCAAATTTCTTCAGCTGAATCTGAACTACCACCGATATAGGGTTGAGGCCCACCCAAAGCCAAGTCAGAGCCCCCTAGAGACGGTTGGTTAACACAGTCCACACTCAGACCCAGACCAATCCAATCCAATTCGAAACCAATTCGAACCCAATGAGAGAATGCCACTCGCAACTCATTCACAATTCGCAGGTACTAAACTATTGTCCGAAAGATATGAAGGCTGACATATGTGTTCATCTAAATCGCAAAGTATTTAACGAGCATCCGGCATTTCGTCTGGCCTCGGATGGTTGTCTCCGCGCTTTAGCGATGCACTTCATGATGTCCCATTCGGCGCCCGGAGATCTGCTCTACCACACCGGCGAGAGCATCGACAGTCTCTGCTTCATTGTGACAGGAAGCCTGGAAGTGATACAGGACGATGAGGTTGTGGCAATATTGGGTAAGCTATATCTCCAATTCTATACCAGTTTGCTTCCCCCCGATTCCACCTCCACTTTCGATTCGTTTCGATTCCATTACAGGCAAAGGCGACGTCTTCGGCGATCAATTCTGGAAGGACTCGGCCGTTGGCCAGAGCGCGGCCAATGTGCGCGCTCTGACCTATTGTGATTTGCATGCCATCAAACGTGATAAATTGCTCGAAGTCCTCGATTTCTATTCGGCATTTGCGAATAGCTTTGCACGCAATCTGGTGCTCACCTACAATCTCAGACATCGACTGATTTTTCGCAAGGTGGCCGATGTGAAGCGCGAAAAAGAATTGGCCGAACGGCGTAAGAACGAGCCGCAATTGCCCCAGAATCAGGACCATCTCGTTCGCAAGATCTTCTCCAAGTTCCGGCGCACCCCCCAGGTGCAAGCCGGCAGCAAAGACCTTGTCGGTGGCGGCACGGGCTCTGGTCAGAGCGATGTCGAGAAAGGCGACGGCGAGGTGGAACGCGTTAAGGTTGGTACAAGAGCATATTCGCCTCTCTCTCTCTCTCTCTCTCTCTCTGTCTCGCTGTGCATTCTGCTTTCGATGTGTTCCGTTATATGCTTTCCGTTATCGTTATTGTTATCGTTATCGTTATCGTTATTGTGTAGCGCGCTCTTTGTGTTTCACCTTTAGTTTACGTAATTTCTTGTTGTTGTTCACAGATTTACTTTCTTTGTATCCTTCTGCAGAGGTTGTATCCTAAAAAGATCCTCATATAGAGTTTCTGCCAGCATGTCCGATAGTTTAACTATACATATGTATGCCTTGTAAAGCGCTTATATTGATCAAATGCGGCTTATCTGTCGAGACCAACAGGATCTCCTTTTCATGTATCTATAATAGAGCCCTGCCTGAGTCCAGAGTATTCGTAAATTCACGGCTATATTCATGCCTTTAATGTCTTTAATGCTTTCGATCATTGCCTCCCCTCAGTCAGATTCACATCCCCTCGGATCACTAGAAACTGAGTTCTCCTTAATTATTCTAAGCATACTACAGAGTTCAATGCGAATATTGTTCTTTTATTTGGCGTAAAACATTTTCCAGCTGTATCTCAATTACATTTTCATCAGTGTAAAGTAAGACACACACAAATAGGTACATATTTTTAGGCAGAGGACAAAACAAATAACAAAGAGAGTGAGCGAGAAAGAAAAAAACGAAATTTTTGGATCTAACACAGTGGAAAGCACGTACAGTCAGTTTTGGGCGATTCGATATAACGCTGTCAGTCGATAAATTCGTATTGAAGAGAATGCATTGAACATTTGGAAGATTAATAGCCCTGCCACAGAAAGTTTAGTTAAAAATGTCTCTTCAGCATTTTGAAATTTCGATGAATCTTCAAGGCTATTTATGACTTCGGTCCCCGAAGAGACATGTATGTATCCTGATGTTTGTTTCCTTTTACTTTACTTTCGTTTAGTTTGGTTTTTTTGAAGCTCACACTGAGAGTACACATCCCGAAGCTATGCCTTATTTTGTTTGTATTCTGTTTCCGGCCCTGTTTGTGTTCGTGCTAAACCGCATATCCAGTTAACCAAGTAATCAAACTAACATTTCTTTCGAAGCATTGTCGTTAGCTATGTAACTATCCACAATTACACAAAGCTCCAGCCACAGCCACAGCCACACTGCCCCCAGGCGATCCGCAGGCACAGGCGGAACCACCAGACGTGGCCAAGTGGAAGGTGAAAGGTGGAAGGTGGTAGATGGAAGGTGGCAGCCACCGCTGTGGCTGGTGTGTTAGTTCTAGTTGATAATAGTTTTTCTTGAATCGTTGAATTGCTTAACCGATTAATTATTTACCAATGATACCAATGTGATATCTGTATTAAAAGTGACTTATGCTCGTTGTGTGTTTTTCTTTGTCTTTGTCTTTGTCTTTCTTGACCATGCTTTCGCATAACTGTTTCCATAACTCACCACTCAACCACCTCACTGGATATAACTCACCACCACCCAACACACACCCACACCCACACCCACACCCACACATACACATGCTTTGCCACACAACTGTACCGTGCCGCGGTCTCAAACTATCTCCATCTCTGTTCTTTACATGTTGTATTTGGTTTTTGCTTACTTTTCAATTATGTTCTCTTCTGCTGTACAAAATTGACTGTGAATTTGGCTGAATTGAAATCGCCTTAACCTCAAATTGAACCAAAATCAAAATACTAACGGAAAATTCTATATTATTTCCCTTCTCCCAACACACACACACACACATACAAAACTTTGCCAAATGAAACCGCAACTCCTTTGAAACTCCTTTCCCATTCGGCGATTTCCAACACACAATTTTTCCCTCTCTCTCTCTCTCTCTTTCTCTCTCTCTCTCTATCTATCTATCTATGTATCTTCTTTCTCATGTCTTCCTGCTTTTGTCAAAATATCTTGCGCTCGACCATCCCACCAAACAAATGCTCGTTAAATCTAAACAAAACCAACAACAATCTACAACCTACAACCAACAATCAACAACATATACAAGAAGCTACCAGCCAAATTGACATTAACCGAGGACTCACGCATCCTAACGACCGCCGCCGTACCATCACCATCGCCATCACCCTCGCCCTCATCGGGTCCACCATCTGCGCGGAGTACCCGTGCCAGCAAGTGGGGACGCCTTCTGGGCAGTTCAAGCGTCGATTCAGCTAGCGACACTAGCGCCAAGGTAGCCGTCTCGAGAAGTTTGAGCGCCCGCGAGAGTCTCCGTGAGAGCACTGCCCAGGCGCGGCAGAGTAGTACTTCGAGTAGCAATGGTGGACAAGGCAACAAAGTAATTACCGTTAATCGCTAACACTTAACTGCTCAAGGCTCAACATAAACAACACATAGAAACATGAAACAGTTCGAAGATTAATTTTACAATTACATATCTATACTTTGGATTTTTAATTTGATTTGATAATTTGATAATTCATAACAATCTAAACACACACACACAAAAATACCCCCACTAAAACACACATACACAGATATACGTAAATATTAATTCGATTGTCTATCTTGGGTTTCCATTTTTAATAATAACTCTGTCTGTCTTTTTTTTGCCATTCGTTTGCTCTTCCCCCGTTTTGAAATCCGTTAATAAAAACGAATCCGATTGCGCGACTCGCTACTCGCCACTCTTTACTCGCTCATTTTGCGTACCATTTCGTTAATTCTTATTTCTGATCAACCATTGATAATTGTTCAACATCCAATTGAAAAGCATTTACAATTAAGCAAAGTAAGTTCTCGAACAATTAGTTTGGTTTACTGTTATGTTAGTTGGCTTTCCCACACTCCAGCACAAGATTGACTGCGATCGATTAGCGATAAGCGAAAGGGCGGGCATAAACAATCGTTGGCGGTCCTTGGAAATAGATATTCCGATAACCGATATGTATTTATGACTTTTTCGATTGCTCTCGAACTGTTATGTGGTTGAATCGGTGACGATCTTTCGAAATGCATCAACCTACTTCGATAACAGTAGAAATTAATCGTAGTTAACGTATCTAGCTTCGATGTATGACCATATGGCGCTATATTTCGAACTTAAAGGATACGTGTCTTAAGTGATGTTATTGCCGTTGCTAAGCAATGTATAAAATATCAGCCACAGTATCGCTAACTGGCCCGCCCCGCTAATCGGCCAATTGTAATGTAGTGCGCACCACGCCCACCCAAATACGCCCTCACACACACACACACACACACACACACACACACACACACGCATACACAGACACCTGCCTTTAGAATGATGACTGCCGATTGCTGATTCTGAAACCAATTGATATGTTTTCTATTCTTCCGTTTATCGTTGACTCTTTTTCTCGTGCAACACAAAAAACAATAAATAACAAAAATCAAATTTTGAACAACCCACAAACATTGCTTGCCTTGCAACAACAACAACAACAACAATAACAACAACTGCAATTAACAAACCAAACAAAAAAACTTCAACAACAATTCAAAAATGATTCCGAATTGGGCTGCAAATCGAACGAACTACTTGCTACTCTGAAACCCTGCCACACAACCGATTGGAAACCAAATTGCACCATCCGCCTTTCGCACTGCAACAATCGAAACATCTGCAACAACAACTCTGAACAACCAACAACAAACTGAATGAATGCTTCAACAAAAACCAACCCGAAACCAACTTTTGCAACTAACCCAAAACAAAAAAACAACAACAAAATCAAAATCAAATCTAAACCGAAAAACAACCTTAACACTTTTCTCACTTTTCTCCCCCAACCGAACACAACTGTACCTCAATCTCAACCTCAACCTCAACCTGCTGCCTCGACCTGAACCTGAACCTCTGCCTCTGCCTGTAACCTCAACCTCAACCTCTTTCTGCCTGAATCTGAATCTGAATCTTTACCTGTCCAATGCCCACGCCTTCGCCTTCGCCTACGCCTCCGCCTCTACCTCCGCATCTGCATCTGCATTGGCATTGCCACCTGCATCCATCCTGCCACATCGTTCCATTAAACGTCACCTTCAGGTTTTCCCAAAGGCGCCCAAGCTGCAGGCGAGCCAGGCGACGCTCGCCCGCCAGGACACCATCGACGAGGGCGGCGAGGTGGACTCCTCTCCACCCAGTCGCGACAGCCGTATAGTCATCGATGGAGGGGCGGCCTCGGCTACCGTGGCGGCCACTGCAGCAGGAACGGCAGCGGCAGCGGCAGCGGCAGCGTCAGGAGGTGCGGCAGTCACAGGCCCTGGCTCATCTGGTTCTGGAGGAGGGGCCGGAGCAGTGACGGCGCTGGTGAAGGGAGAGCGCAACCTGGCCCTGGAGCGAGAACGCCAGATTGAGATGGCCAGCTCGCGGGCCACCACCTCGGACACGTACGACACGGGCCTGCGCGAGACGCCGCCCACGCTGGCGCAGCGAGATCTCATCGCCACCGTCCTGGACATGAAGGTGGATGTGCGGCTGGAGCTGCAGCGCATGCAGCAGCGGATAGGCCGCATCGAGGACCTGCTGGGCGAGCTGGTGAAGCGGCTCGGACCGCAGCAGGGGGGGGACAACAGCAGCGGCCAGACGACGCCCGGCGACGAGATCTGTGCGGGCTGCGGCGCGAGCGGCGTCGCGGCAGGTCCAGGAGCAGGACCAGGGCCAGGACCGGGGACAGGGACAGGGCCTGGGCCGGGCACGCCCACGACCCCGGCCACAGTTACGGTCACCACGCCCGTAGACACTGTGATAACAATCTCATCCCCCACGTCAGCAGCGGCACCAGGGGCTGGGGCTGGGGCTGGGGCTGGGGCTGGCGCTGGCAGCGGTCTACTAAATCCAGGCGTCCCAGTTGTGTCGAGCGCGGGAGGCAACGGCCTGGGGCCACTGATGCTCAAGAAGCGACGCTCGAAGAGCAGGAAAGCACCGGCGCCTCCTAAGCAGACACTCGCCTTGGCCGGCGCGGCCTCAACGACCACAACTCTGACGGGCGCCGCTGGATCTGGTACGACGAGCGTGGCAGCGTCAGCGTCACCTGCAGCGGCAGCGGCAGCAGGGGCAGGCTCTCCCAGCGGTGCTTCTCCAACGGAACTGCTGCACCTGCGGCTGCTCGAGGAGGACTTTACGGCGGCCCAGCTGCCGCCCTCGACACCAACAGCCACGACCCCGACATCATTGGCCACGCCTCCGGCCAGCGGCACGCCAGCGGCGGGAAGTGCCACCACCTCGCCCACGGGCCCGCCACCCACGCTACCAACGACCACAGGCAGCAGCGGTCCAAGGAGCGGCAAACGGGAGTTCCTCTAGCCCAAGATTCTGTTGCGGCATCAGTCTTCGGCTCCGGCTCCGGCTTCGGGTTCAGCTTCGGCTTTGGCTTCAGCTTCCGCGGAGAACATGGAGAGCATGGAGCAATAAAATAAGCCACTAGGGGGAGAGGGATGCTCCCGGCCATGCCCATGCCCACGCCCACGCCTATGCTAGTTAGACTAAATATATATTAAGATAATTAATGCTGTAACCTGTAACCTCAAGAGCTAGACTTACCTCCAAAAAGCTCACTGCTCCAACATGTATCTCTCTCTCTATCTTGCTCTGAATCTATCTCTCTCTCTCTCTATCTCTCTCTATGTCTCGATGTAAGAATACCTTTCCATAACTCGTATCTCGCTTTTCTCTCACCGAACTAAACACACACACACACACACACACTGAATGGAAGTGCTCGATACTTGATATTCGATACTTTAGCCCATTAGCCGATCCGCGATGATTAGCGATAGCGATAGAGATAACGATTACGATTAAGGCAGAGCATATTGCTTACGATTTTGCTACATTTACTGCAATTATTTACCTTTATACATGTACACGGATATACTAAAGGGGATAGGGATATTACGTAGATAACGTCACAGATGGACAGACAAGGATGATACGCAGATACGGTTAGTTGTATATACATGGATAACTTTGTGATAACTGCTGAAGTGCGAAGGGAGGCGAACAAAACAGAAAGAAAGAAACGAGGAAAGCTAACGACAGAGATCGATCAATGCCCGTGAATTGTAAATAGCATATAGCATAGCCTATACTCATCCTGCGAATAGCCTAGGATTCGGATTCACACACACACACGCCCAAACCCTCCCCCCCCCCCAAGAGAGAGCTGGAGGAGAAGATCCCAATGGGGATTGATATGTACATACATGCAGACATACTCGTATGGGTATCTGGCCCGTCCTATTACTTAACGAAAACTCGAATGAAGAGAGAAACTCGGATTGAAGAGCACCAACCACTCTCGCAGCACTCGCACTACTCGCTTGGCTCTCCTGTAGGCTTAGGCTCGTAGGTAACTCAACGAAGATACTCAAGAATGGAGGACGAAGCTCCGCTCCCAGTACGAGATATACTCACCAACACACAAGACACACACTAACAAAAAGTTGCGACAATCGACAGACCTAAGAAAAGAAAATAAGAAACTAAGAAAAAGAAACAGAATAGGAAACTACCTTTTAAAGAAAACCTCTTCAAATAAAAGAGCAAACAGAAAAACTAAAATTTGTATAGAGCTTGTAAATATTTGAATTACGAATACTATTTGAAAACCATACAGACATACACTCACTCTCAGACCTACACATATTTTGTGATACAAAAATTAGCTGAAAATAGTACCCAAAAATAACATAAATATTTGTTAACGCTTATACCCGAAGCAAAAGCAAGAGGAGGGCGCAAAGAACATTTGTTAGATAACTATGCTCTATGTAGCATAGATCAAACTAGAATATATTGTATAATGGTACGGATATCGCAAAGATGCAAGTATACAATTACTAATTGAGATGTGTCCTGAGCAGTTGAAAAGTTTAAAGGCAAGGTTTCATTACGTTTAAGTCGCCAGAGTCGCAGTCCACTCGAAGTTCGTTCTGTTCCTGTTTGGGGTTCGATTTTGCCGTACATATACTCCTACTGTTGAGGTCGGTAGCAGACTTCCCATTCCCTCCCAAAGCAATACGAATACGAACTGTCTTCCTGCCATTGCTGGAGGTGTGGGGGTGGGTGTCTGGGGATATGGGTTGGGTTGGGTTGGGTTGGGTTGGGTTGGGTTGGGGCTGCTGCAGATACTCGTGCTAGTTACTTAGTTTTAGTGCGATTAGTAGTTTTGTTCGATTCGATTCGACAGCATTTTCATTCTGAAATCGGAAATCACACAAACACACACACACACACATATATATATATATATAAATCCAATACTCCAAAATGAATCAAAAAATTTAAATAGGAATAGCGAAAAACCAATTTGTTGCATACGCTTAGGCGCTCATTTCTAGTCGAAAGTTGAACGAATGTAGGACTCAGCGGGGTCAAACTGTATATAGATTTTTTTTTAAATATAAATATAGCTATTAGTTATTTATTACTAGGCGAACCGAACTAACCAGAAGAAGGAATGAGCCACAGACTCGGTCTGACTGGTGAGCCCAGCAATATGTATTAGTATTTCGAGGGCCCTTGTTGAGTCGGGTCTGATGGTAGACACTTTATATACATCTTAGACTGGGATTTTAAACTCATTAAAGGCTTCCTCTACATCCACCTCTTTACCTTTCGCCCGATCGCTTCTGGCCCTTTGTTGGTTTTCTTATGGGTGTCTTTTAGATCTAAACTACACAGAGCCTTATACATTTATGAAACAAGCAACTAACCAAAAGCAACTAAAGCAAACAGCAAGAATGAATTCAACAAGCTAGAAACATGAACCTATACTAACATTAACATTAACATTAACATTAGCATTAGCATTAACTTTAATATAAAAAAAACAGACATGAAACAGACGTAAAACTAATACCGAATGTAGGTAAGAAAGGTGCAATTACAATTTTTAGATCAAGCTAAGCGAAAACGCGAGCAATTTAGTCGAAATTTATATTGAAAAATTTATATATGTACGAGTATGCATACCCATACAGACGACGAATTGCGAGTACACACACATTCAGACAGAGATGTACATATATACTCCCAAGCCGGCACACAACACTACACACACACACACACACACAGAAATGTCTAATGGTGATGTTCTTGCCTTCACTTTCGCCTAAAAAACGCCCCAATTCAGTCTGATATATATATAAAGAAGAAGGAGAGAAGGCAGACGAAGGTCCGTTCGGTTAGAAGAGCCAAAGAAACTGATGTAGTCGTATGAATATATAGATAACATACACGTATATATGCTTATACATACATACATATGTGTATATATGTGTGTACGAGTATTTTCAAGATTACCTCTAGTTACACCTAGAACGAGAACGAGAACAACCTAACAAAATTAAGCTTTTATACGCCAGAATTTTTTTCTAAGAAAAATACAAACAAACAAAATACTCAAGAATATACATAAAAAATACAAAATAAAAAATCAAATAAAAGCCAGAGAAGAGAGAACACGCCACTCAATTAAACAAGAATACCGTAAATGAAATTTATTTAATTATACAATACAAACAAAATAGGTCAGGAATGATATACATACATAGACGAAAGCCTTAACCCAAAAAAAGAAAAAGAAAAAGAAAAAAAAAGAAAACAGAGAAAAATAATTAGTCGCGCCTCGTTTTTGTTTTTTATTTTGTAAGTTCCACAGCAAAGCTAAGCAAAGAAAACCAAAAGTACGAGTACTATATACTAAATATGTACCGAAAAAATACCAAACCAAACAAGCAACTAACTTAGCATTATGCTCTAGATTCTAGAACAAAGAACCAAAATTTTACAACAACAAAAAACAACAACAACAAAAACAAGAACAAAAGCGAGAAAGCAATGTCAAACCTTTTCCACCAATTTGAGAAGCATAGTTGTTAAAATACCTTTAAAATACCTATAAAATACTGAAAACGATTTCGTACACGCGCCCTTTTGTTTTTAAAACGTCGTAAAGCTGCCTATTTATATATTTACAAACAAACGAAGAGAAAAACCAAAATACACTTAACTACAAATTAAACAAAGAACAACCAACAAAAAAAAAAAAAACAAATAAAAAATAAAAAACAAAAAACGAGAAAAAGGTACATATTAAAATAGCTAAATTGCAAGTAAAGTGAGGCAAAACAAAGCAAAAAAAAAACAAAACGAAAACAATTAAAAATAGTTTGAAATCAATTGAGTTTTTATTAAATTACGCCCGAACTTAGTGAATCCAGAAAAAAGGCTTTGCTGATCAGATTTACAGCTGTATACACACTCAGATTTATATATACAATATATACCTACCTACATATACATATGTATGCATAGTGGGTATGTTTATCCCAATTGAAGCTTTCTAGGGAGTCAGAGAACAAGCCCAAAATCGAGAACATAAATAGTTGTAATGTTTATTTGAGAATCGATGGATTAATTCCTGTAATTAGTATATGTACAGTTACATACTTGATTATTGCCCTACATTATTCGAGCCCCCCACACACACACACACACTCACACACAAACACTCATATTTGAGGTTAGTAAAGATCGAGCGAATCTTAAAAGTAACAACCCCCTAAAAAAGAAGAAGCAAAAAACAAATAATTTGCAACATTTGCAGAAAGCTAAAACACAATACGCGAATGAAACAAAGACAAGAAAAGAGAAATACATACATAAATGTTTTTTAAAAAAAACCCCAAAATATTGTTCTCTATCACGGGCGAATCATTTCACTTACGGTAAGTTTTAACCTCAAGAAGGTCATCGATCAAGCTCAAATTTTTGCTTTTCTTACCATTGAAACCATTAGGTAAAATATAGGTAGATGGGCATGCTCATGCTCACGACAAGTTGTCTTTTGCTTGCTTTCCTTCCTTTCCAGAGTTGGAAAGGGAAATGGAGATTAATAATCGCCCCCTCAAAAGGATCAACTCTAGGATATCTGTATGTATATCTGTATATCTGATATGTATTTTGTGAGCTGAGTGCAGACTGACAGACCAAAAACAGATACCACTCACCGAAGACATCACCCATTAGAGCGGATTCCAAACAGATTACGAACCCGTGTGGGAACCGTCGTGCTCCAGTCCCCATTTCAGATTCAGATCAGTTCACATTTCTGTTCTTTCCGGGCTCTGTCCTCTATTTTTACAATAACTCACGGGGTTCAATTAGGCCCGCTCAATATGCGATCGGTGATTCCCCGTCAAAGTCAAAGCTCCTCCGCCATTCAATTAGGTCGGGTCAGGGCTTATCTGAATCCTCCACAGTGGGATTTGTAAGTACAATTAACATTACGCATACCGTAT